TTGATGTATTGATTGATGGATGGTTGGATGATTGATGTATTGATTGAAGGATGGTTGGCTGTATTGATGTATTGATTGATGGATGGCTGGATGTATTGATGTATTGATTGATTGATGGACTTTCAGACTATCTCAATTTGTTCTAAAGAACCCGTTTTAGCCAACATCTCATTAGGGAATCAACTTTCTGGAGAATAAAAACACTTGTGTCTGTCACAGTCTCGTCTTTGACGAGCTGCGGTCGCTTGGTGGTCAGTGCCACAGGCTCGTAATCCCGAGGTTGCAAGTTTGAGCCCAGGTTGCGTCAGAAAGGGCATCAGGCGTAAAAATAACTGCCAGATCTTTTAATGGGAGTTTGCTCGCTGTGGCAACCCCTGCAGAAAGGAGCAGCCCAAAGAAACTGACCTTACATCGTGTTGTCTTTGACCTTTTTCAAGCTGTAAATAGAGAAACTGGAACAAAGTACCTGCTCATGCAACAAGGAGCCTGATAACAGCTTCAGGTTTGTTCCCTGCTAACAAAGCAACAACAGGAACATCAAACTAAATACAATTACAAGACTTTAGAGCGTTCAGCCAGCCCAGAAGCAGCATGTGAGACATTATACATCAACTAGAAAGCCCTTTATCTTTTCTCCTGGCTGCTGCTCTCATATTTTACAGATGTCAAACAGCTTTAAAAGCTGCCTTTGGATTATTGTCTCCAAAGACCTGTGAGCTGGAGTCTTTGCAGAGGAAAACTAAACTCCAACACCACCGAGTACAAGAGTGTTATCAATCGTCTGAAACCGTCACAGAACAAGCAGAAAGTGTGACGCTGTTGGTTGGACGTCCACATTCTTCAAATCAGTTTTCTCACCACGTCTCTGGTGGATGGTTGTGCACCACGTGGATGATCCTGCCGGGAGGGTAAAGGGGCGTGGAGGCTGACAAGGCGATGCTGAGGTCACTGGGGTGTAGCCACAGGCGGCTGCTGGGGGGAGCTGCCGGCTGCGACTGAGGATCGTCATCCTCTACTGGAAGCTCAGATTTGGGGATGCATTTGGTACCTCCTGCAATGATCCTCCACTGTGGGAAGGAAAACAAATCAGAAATGTATATCTTGTTGATGCATAGTTTCTGTGCATCATTTGATTGACAGCAGATCAAATGACAGAGAAGCCAGAGAATGTTTAAGATGCAGTCTATCATAAGTTAACTGTTGTTTCCAGGTTTTTAATATCAGATAAACTTAGACAAACTGAGTTACTTTTGGCTTGTTGCTTTTCTGCAGGACTTCCAGAAGGTGCCGTCGGAAACCCTCCAGCTGTGAAAGGCCGAGCCTACGACAGACCAGAGGCTGTTGTGGTAATACTGAAGAAAACTACAAAATGAACCAAAGCCCATTAGACACAGTAACAAACGTACCTTGGTACTAGGTCTTTTCCTAATACCACAGATGTCACAAACTCTTTGGAGTACTCCATGGCATCCTCACTGGGTTATAGGAGACAAAAACACACAAACCCTGTGTGAAGCATGTAACAAGTGTGGGCCAAGAGAGAAAAAGTGTTTTCAAAGAAATATTGATTCTTATTCAGATGACCTAAATGAAACAGGCAATAATGTCCGTGTGATGGTATAAACTCAGCATCCACACAGCTGGACAGTGTTCAGCTTGGTTCTGTTAGGAAAACCCTATTACCTGTATTCAGAAGTGCATTTAGAAGATATAAACAGACAGAAAACCAGGTTGGATTGATAAGTCCATCTGCTTGGAAACTTCACATGTAACATAAACATGTATGAAAACGGGCGTACAAAACCTCCCCTCATTATTCCCATGGAAAATCTGATGTCAGTTTGAGCTCACATGCTAATTATTGAGTAAAAACAGGCCGACTTACCTAAGAAGGCCACCAGGTGGAGAATAAGAGTAGCAGTGAAGTGTAGGGTAGTGAGGTCTGAGCAGGAAGGACAGAATAGCAGCGGTGCCTGCACCGAGAGAATGTCCAACGATCACCAGCCCATAGTGCATGGTGCCTTTGCTCTGTGCGAGAGAGACGCAGTCATTACACTCGCAAAAGCTCACGTTGTTCCCTCTCAGAAACAAAAAGATCTTCACGTTTAGAAAACATTACACATCTAGTGAAGCCCAGCATGAAGCACTGGTTCACAGCACAAACTAAACGCAGCCGTTCTTTACTCCGCACGCTGAGTCACGTACCAAGTCTCGTCCAAAAGCTTGTGACAAGATCATTTCCTGCTCCAGTTTCTTCTTAATGTATTCTGCTGAGTAAACCATTCCCTGGAGGGGGAGGCAAGGAGATTCAGTGCAGAGAGGGCAATGACAGTTACAGATGTGGACAGGAAGTCATTAATCTTCTGTTAAATATGTCTATTGTTAACATTCAAAATGAAAAAAGCAGGATTGTTGGTGAGTCTTTGAGTCTCCCACCTTGTGACCAAGCCAGTTCCCCTGCTGCTCCTCCACAGGTAAACGCTCAGAGTCTCCGGTCAGGTCAGTCAAAGCGTCCTGAGGAACACGAAACAAATAAAACGCCTCAACAGAACAGCATAAAGCAAAAACAAGAGAAACCAAACAAATGAAAAGAGCAGACCAAAGGAATCAAAGTCAAGGTTCATTACCACCGAAGCAACTTCAGTTTGTTCTTTTAATCATTTCTTGAACACACCTGAAAGTTAGATACTGTAAAATAATGTTGAACTTTTGTAGAGTCCATAAAACACATTTTAATTTACACTACATGTCTTAGATGTTCATGTTTCTATACTGCAAGAAGTTTGCCTTTGTTACAGTAAACCATGATTTGTTCAGACTGCTGGTCCAGTTAAAGTCCAACACTCTGCAGACTTCTTCTGAACTCTGTGAGTGGACAGCCACGCTCTTGTTCTTTGCGTGAAGCTGTTTCAGAATATTACAGCGAAGCACGAGAAGCTCACCTGCTCTGAACCGTGAGTGTTACAAAATGCTGAGGAGAACAGGGAGTGCTAATGTTTGAACAAAAATGAAATATTACGATCAAAACAAGACATTTAAGATGCAAATCACCTTTGGTGAAAGAGTTCCTCTGATACTGATGACAACTTTCTTCTTTCCATGATCCACCGCCACAAAGAACGGAGTCTCGTAAACCTGGTGGGAACGCAGATTGTAGCAGAGCAAAGAGCGACAGCTGTTACTGGACTTCATTTGTAACTGAAGTTACAAATAAATTGTTTCAGTTACAAATAAAGTCCAGTTGTTTTTAATCTTGTTTGGATTTATCATGTCCTGGATGTAAGAAACTGTAAGACATAAGAAACTGATGATACAATGATGTCATCAAGGGAATGCGTACTATGTGCACTCACCATAATCCATAATTTTAACTATTTACTATGATTAGTGTATTTTATGCACTGCTCTTTTACGGTTATTGTGAATGATATTAAAATGTTCCCTGGTCCTGACTCTATGTATTAATCAGTCTTCATGTGACCGCTCAGTAAAGGGACAGCAGGAGATGAATCCGTTATCCTCAAGGTGATTGATAAGATGACAGTGACGTGGTTCCTGAGGCCTTGGGAGCTGTTTGGATCCCAGATCGCTCCCTGCTTCTGATTGCAGCTGGGTTCTGATAACGTTGGACCGGGCAGGGAGGAGCTGGAGGTTTCGACAAAACTGATTTTTTCTGTTCAGGAATTCAAAATGGTCAGAGCCTCAAACAGGTGAAAACATTGATAAGCTTTGAATAAATCCGATCAAGTCTGAACTTGATTGTTTTGGGAATCTCTTTTTTTTTTCCACAACAATCTCCTCATCTCATTCAGGCCATGAGGGGAAGTGTCAATAATCCTAGTACTTGTCAGTTCTGTTTCATTTTTACCATTTAGTGCATTTAGGTGGGTCTGAGGGTTGTTGCAGTACAGTAGTCCTTCGCTACTTCGCCGTTCGTTTATCGCGATTTCACACTATCGCAGTTTTTCAAAATAAGATTGGACATGACTCACAACTGGCTGATTGATGGATGAGCCGCACGACTGGCATGAAATTTTAATTAAAAATAAATTATTTTTAATTAATTAGCACCTGCTGCGCCTTTGTGCAGCCCACACTGCAGAATAAACTTCCTGCTGCAGCTGATCAGCTGTTCTCGTTAAGAGCGGATAAGTGGGCGTGGCCAAGAGTGCTTGCAGGTAGCAAAGAGCAGAGGAGGCAGGAGCTGAAGTCATGAGATTCTGTGCTCTTTAAGAGAATTTAGAGTTTAGAAACATTGTTTAGAATATTGCAAGAGGAAGGACTACAAGTT